CTTTAAGTCCAACTTGTCAATTTTTGTTTTTGTCATAATTGCTTTTGGGGACTTAGCCAACAATCTTTGCCACAACCAACATTAAGAAATCAGGCAAGACACAAATAAATGGAAAAAACATTCCATGCTCATGAGTTCAAAGAACCAAAGCAATATATAGATTCAACACTATTCCTATGAAACTAGCACCATCATTTTTCACAGAATTAGAAAAAAACTATTCTAAAATTCCTAAGGAACCAGAAAAAGAGCTAGAATAGCCAAAGCAATCCTAAGCAAAAAGAACATAGTCAGAGGGATCACACTACCCAATTTCAGGCTGTACTATAAGGCTACAGTAACCAAAGCAGCATGCACAGTACTGGTATAAAAACAGACACATATCAATAGAACAGTATAGAAAGTCCAGAAATAAAGCCTCACACCTACAACCATCTGTTCTTTGACAAAGCTGACAAAAACAAGCAGTGGGGAAAGACTCTTTATTTAACAAATGGTGCCAGGACAACTGGCTAGCCATATGCAGAAGAATGAAAATGAACCCTTACCTTTCACTGTATACAAAAATTAACTTAAGATGGATTAAAGATTTAAATGTAAGACCTCAAACTATAAAAATCCTAGAAGGAAATACTCCTCCTGTTCTTCTTTTTTAAAATTGCGTTGGTTATTTTAGCTGTTTTGTATTTCACACAGGTTTTAAAATCAGCTTGTCAATTTTTAACAAGACCACCTTCTGGAATTTTGACTGGAACTGCTTTTATTCCTAAGACCAATATTTGGATATTTGTCATCTCTTCTTTTCTCTGTCTCTTTCTGTTGTCTGCTTATCTACCTATCTATATATAATCACCATTTACTTAGATCTTCTTAATCGCTCTTAGCAATGTTTTATAATTTTCAGTTTATGGGTCTTGTACATATTTTGTTAAATATGTCCTAAGTAGTTTTAAGCTTTTGATGGTATTTTAAATAATATTTTAATTTTCTCCTAACAGTTTATGGATAATATAGTATAACCCTATATTCACTTAATATAATATATGGGAGATATTTTTCAAGTAATTTGATTATCTATTTATGGGTTATCTATTAAACTTGCTAAAGAAAACTTGCTAAAGAAATGTGAAGGAATTAGACAGCTTCTCTCTTCAGAGCTCAGTTAAGTCTTTGGACTTTCTTTTTAACATAATCTGATAAACTATGGAGAGGCAGGTGATATTCTGAAATTAAATAGATCTAGGTTTGAATACCATCTCAGTAACTTTCTAGTTGTATGTCTTCTGGAAAACTACTTATTTCATTTTCTCTATTTCTTCTTCTTTAGTATGTATAACATACACCTATATTGTAATTTTATGAGGATAAAATGATTTAACATACAGAAAACATTCCTGGCACGTGAGTTCTAAATAAAATGTGCCATTAATATGTAAACTAATGCAGGTTTAATTTACATATTAATGGCACATTTTAATATGAGACACTTTACATTAAAATTAGCATGTTTAACTTATGTAAGCAAAATGAAAATAAATAAGTAAATAAAATGAAGTTAGTGTGGTTAATAAGACAATAAGAACTCCAAAAGTCAGAAAAAAGAGGTTGACCAGCCATCCTGGATTTCAAAGTGTGGCAGGACTTGAGCCTCATAAAGGCATAATTTACTACAGTACCAATTTTTAAATTAAAAAACTGTATTTATTAAATAAATTTAATGTTCTTATTTCTTGGGAAAGTACATAGTTTTTTTTTTTCTCAAACTAAGCCTTTGTGGAAGATGAACGTTTGTTTAATCAAGGGTTTTCTAGGTGACCAAGGAATGATCATAAAAGGAATCAGTGCCAATGATGAGACACATGAGACACTTTGGTATCTCAGTCACACTCTTGCCAATGGGACTGCAGACTATTTTATATTGTCAGATCATGATAAGTACTTGGTGTATATCCATTCATCAATTGATGGACATTTGGGTTGTTTCTACTTTTTGACTATTACAAATAATGCTGCTATGAACATCTGAGTATAAGTTCTTGAAGAGACATACTTTTAAAAACTCTCTTGTGTAGTATATATGCCTGGGAGAAGAATTTCTGGCTTTTATGGTAACTCTATGTTTAACTGTTGATGAAATATCAAACTGTTTTCTATAGAGACAGCGCTATTTTATATCACAATCAGCAGTGTATGAGTGTTCTGATGTCCCTTCTTCCTTGTCAACATTTATTATCTATCTTTTTTATTATAGTCACTGTAGTAGGAAAAAAGCTGTAGTTTAATTGTGGTTTTGATTAATTTATGTTTCTCTGATCACTAATGTTGTTGAACGTCTTTACATGTACTTATTATCCATGTGTACATTTTCTTCAGAGAAATGACTATTCATTTTCTTTGCACATTTTAAAATTAAAGTCTTTATTATTTAATCATAGTCTTTATAGAATTTAGATAAAATTTTCTTATCTGAGGCATTATTTTCAAATCTTTTCTCTTATTTAGCAGATGCCTCTTTTGAGGCACAAACTTTTAAATTTTGATGAAGTCCAATTTATCTTTTTTTTTTTCTATTTGTTTAATGTGGTTTTGGTGTTATATCTAAAAAACCATGGCCCATTGCAAAGTATCAAATATTTGCTATTTGGTTTTCTTCTAAGAGTTTTATAGTTTTAGCACTTACATTTAGGTCTTTGATTCTTTTTGAGTTAAGTTTTGAATATGGTGTGAGGCAGGGGTCTAACTTCTTTATTTTGTATGTGGATTCCAGTTGTCCCAGAACCATTTGTGGAAAGAGTACTATTTTCTCATTGAATTATTTTGGAATCTTTGTTAAAAAAATCAATAGACCATTACGGTGAGGATTTATTTCTGAATTTTCAATTCTATTGCATTAATCTATAGGTCTGTTCTTATGTCAGCACTGAACTCTCTTGATTACAGTGGATTTGTAGTAGGTTTTAAAACCAGGAAGTGTGAGTTCTTCAATTTTATTCTTCTTTTTCAAAAATGGGCCTTATTTTAAAGCAGATTTCCTCAACCTCAGCAATATTAACATTTTGGGCTAAGTAATTATTTTGTAGTGGTAGCTGGGCTGGTTATTATAGATGTTTAGGAGCATCCCTGCCCTTTCCTCACTTGATGTCAAAAGCACACATCTTCAAGATAACTACATGATTTCTAAGTATTGTATTGTAAAATGTCCCCAGAGAGGTAAAATTACTGGTAATTGAGGATCAATGTTTTAAGAGAACATAGAGAGTCCTTTGACATAGGTTTAGCTGATTAGGAGTAGATGAGTCATGTCATAGTAGGTTAATAACATCACAATTAGTATGCAAAATCAACCCCCTATGAGCAATATGTTTCAAAAATTTAAAGGAACAAAACTATTTCCTACAAATTTTAACTTTCTATTACAGTATATTTTAGTCTTAAGGCTAAAAATTAATAGTACCTGAAGCTTTTGAACTTTTAAATTTGTACAGAGAAGGTTTTTACCCTTTTTAAAAATCAAATGGGCTTAGAAATTTAAATTTAAACTACTAAGATACAGGGTAAGTATAAGTGTAACTCAAAGTTTCTGTTAACAGACTTGGAACTATTTATTTAACTTTTCCTCACATAAGGTGATATGATGGCTAGGTCAAAGATAATCTTAAAAAAACATGTTAACAGAATCCCATTGTTTACAACTTTTTATTAACTGCTAGAAGAGGCTGTAGTGTTTGCCCAGGTTACATTGTATAGCCAAGACTAAACTTCAAAATATGGATTGTATAATTGTTTCCATAAAAGTGGAAGTAATTTAGAACACATAGAGGGTTAGTTGGTTCGAGAGAGAATATGTTGGAATACTGGCAAGAGTTGGAATGTTGAGAAGGGCCAGGAACAGAACATGAAGTGAAACTGACTTTTAAGAAATGGGGAGTTACAGGAACCATATGGGGAGGAGACATTGAGTAAGGAGTATTTCAATGGAGAATGGAGTATCAAAGGAGTGTGGGCAAAGTGGTCTAAAATCTTGAACAATCTGAGGAGATAGATTTTATATACTATGTCACTGGTGACTTAGAAAGGGTCAGATTCCATGGAAAAAGGGAACACAGGAGCTGGAGTTTAGAAAAATGTAAGATAAAATTATGAGTTGGGTACGCAGACATGACACGTAAAGGCCACCTTTTTAAGATATATGGTAATAAAAAGGAAACGTGGTGGTAGCTTGACATAAATAGAATGAAGTAAAAGTTTTGTCAGAACACAGTACTCTGGAACATAATGGTAGCTTGAAAAAGCAGAGATGACATAGGGAAAAAGTGATGGAGTAAATTCTACAGAGGCAGAAATGCTTGGAATCTTGAGCACTGTGGGAGGATGAACTAAGAGTAGAGAGAACAATGGTGAAGGTGAAGATGATTATGACTTCTATGACAGAGAGCAACCAATTTTAAGCACTTATTCTGCACAATCATGTTATGTACCTTACTGCCATTAACTAGGTACTACTATCTCCATTCTGTAGATGATAAAATGTTAAGTAAATTGTCTGAGGTTGCACAACTGTTAAGTACAAGAGTTGGGATTTCAATCCATGTCTAAATTGGGAGCCTAAATTCCTAACCACTCACCTCTGCTTTATCATCATAGCCTTTAACATCATAGCTACGTGAACTCCCATGACTACGTGCTTGGTAATAGTCACACAGAATAACCCAACAGTAGTCTCTACACTTCAGCTATGGAATCTATCCTTAATTCAATCCAGATTCTCTCGCATTTGTAACCTTCTGACCTCCACAGCAAGGTACCCATTTCCATTTGCACATCCCAACACTGACATGCAGTGAAATAGTTCCTTAGCCACTATCTTCAGTACTCCCCAGAGAAGTGACAATTATCACTAATTGTGACCCTATTGAGATATTTTCTGATGGTACACATGATTATTTGCTGCAATTGAAGCAACTAGTAGATGTTTATTCTTTTCTTTTCCTTGTTTGCAGATACTTATGAAAATGGAAATTATTTTTTGGCAAACTTTATAGCAGCTCAGGTAAGACTAATATACTACAATTTATAAATCTTTTCCCTGTGTCTACAGATTAAACATTATAGTTAATTGTGTAAATGTAATATCCTACATCTTAATAGGAGGTTCTTCTTGCCTTTACTTTTATAATCCAGGTCTGTTGTCATTAAAATAAGGAAGAAAAATAAGAAAATCCTTATTTTGCCAGTTTTATACCATCTCTATGAAAAGAAACTTGGAATTCATATAATGCTAGTGAAAAAAATGGGAATTTAAATGTATAACATATTTTCCAAAGATAAGAAATTTTCTGGCTGATAAATTTTGGAAGAAAAATGCTATATAAACTCTTTATTATACAACAATGCATAAAAGACAACCTTGAAACCTCAATGGTATCTAACAATAAGCACTTACTTAGCTCATGAGTTTGCAGGGTTCAGAGGATATGGGCCTGGTCTTGGCTGATCTTTGCCAAGTCAGTCTTGGATCTGTTGGGCTGTTTAGATAATCTTGGCTGTGTTCACATACCTAGGGGGTCAGCTGATTTTCATACAATCTAAGATGGCCTTGTGGGAAGGTCTAGATATGATTTCTTCATAATTATGGAAGAGGGCTCAAATAAAAATAAAAGTGGAGATCCATTAGTTCTTTTAAAAATCTTTTTTTTTTGTATTGAGTTGACTAATTTTTCATTAGCAAATGCAAAGTCACATGGTCAAGCCCAGAGACAGAAGAGGGACAGAATGCCTCAAAAGGGGTATGGATTTGTAAGGGCTGAATAATTTGTGACAGTGATGTAATTAATGCACATTGCATATTAAATGATCCCATGGATAATCTGTATAATTTTAATTAGAGTATGAGAAGGATTGTTTTAGGTCAAACCTGGATTCTGCTTGTCTATTTTTATGTAGTCACTTTAAGGAGTAGTATAGCATGAATCTATAACAGCAATTCACATATTTGAAGATGTCTCTGTTATTCCTTTTTTCTTCTTAGAAATATGTATCACCAGGCTAACTTCATGTTTCCTCTATTTCCTGCCTATACTGGTTTCCAGATCTGATTATTCTGTTTAGAATCCAGTTAACCTAGATTTCTTTTAAAACATCATAATTGAGGGCATATTTTAGAGCTGCCCTATCCAGTATGATAGCCACTAGTCACATGTGGCTATTGAGCACTTGAAATGTGACCAGCCTAATGTGAAATATTCAAAAGTTAGCTTAAAAAATTCAAAAATGATTTATGGGCTTCCTGGGCAAGATGGCTGAATAGGAACAGCTCTGGTGTACAGCTCCCAGTGAGACCAATGCAGACTGCAGTGATTTCTGCATTTCCAACTGAGGTTCCCAGTTCATCTCATTGGGACTGTTTAGACAGTGGGTGCAGCCCATGGAGGGCAAGCCAAAGCAGTGTGGGGCACTGCCTCACCTGGGAAATTCAAGAGTCAGGGAACTCCCTGCCCTAGTCAAGGGAAGCTGTCAGGGACCATGCTGTAAGACATGGTGCTATATGGCTCAGATACTCTACTTTTCCCATGGTCTTCACAACCCACAGACCAGGAGATTCCCTTGGTTGCCTACACCACAAGAGCCCTAGGTTTCAAGCACAAAATTGTACAGCCTTTTGGACAGACACCCAGCTACTTGCAGGAGTTGTTTTTTAAACCCCAGTGGGGCCTGGAATGCCAGTGAGACAGAACTGTTCACTCCCATGGAAAGGGGGCTGAAGCCAGGGAGGCAAGTGATCTAGCTCAGTAGATCCCACCCTTACAGAACTCAGCAAGCTAAGATCCACTGGCTTAAAATTCTCGCTGCTAGCACAGCAGTTTGAAATTGACCTGGGATACTTGATCTTGGTGGAGGGAGGGGCATCTGCCATTACTGAGGCTTGAGTAGGCAGTTTTTCCATCACAGGGTAAACTCAGACACTGGGAAATTCAGACTGGGGCAGAGCCCACCACAGTACCGCAAAGCCAGTGTAGCCAAACTGTCTCTCTAGCTTCCTCCTCTCTGGGTAGGGCATCTATGAAAGAAAGGCAGCAGCCCCAGTCAGGGGTATATAGATAAAACTCTCATCTCCTGGGGACAGAGAACCTGGGGGAAGGGGTAGCTGTGGGCACAGCTTCAGCAGACCTAAACATTTCTGCCTTCTGGCTCTGAAGAGAGCAGTGGATCTCCCAGAACAGTGCTTGAGCTCTGCTAAGAAACAGACTGCTTCCTCAAGTGGGTCCCTGACCCCCATGCCTCCTGATGGGGAGACACCTCCCTGCAGGGGTTGACAGACACCTCATACAGGAGAGCTCTGGCTGGCATCTGGCAGTTGCTCCTCTGGGACGAAGCTTCCAGAGGAAGGATCAGGCAGAATTCTTTTCTGTTCTGCAGTCTCTGCTGGTGATACTCAGGCAAACAATGTCTGAAATGAACTCCCAGCAAACTCCAGCAGACCTGCAGAAGAGGGGCCTATTAGAAGGAAAACTAACAAAGAGAAAACAATAGCCTCAACATCAACAAAAAGGACGACCATGGAAAACTCCATCTGAAGGTTACCAACAGCAAAGACCAAAGGTAGATAAATCCATGAAGATGAGGAAAATCTGGCATAAAAAAGCTGAAAATTCCAAAGACCAGAATGCCTCTTCTTCTCCAAAGGATTACAACTCCTTTCCAGCAAGGGAACAAAACAGGAGGGAGAATGAGTTTGACAAATTGACAGAATTAGGCTTCAGAAAGTGGGTAATAACAAACTCTACTGAGTTAAAGGAGCATGTTCTAACCCAGTGCAAGGAAGCTAAGAACCTTGATAAAAGATTAGAGGAATTTCTAACTAGAATAACCAGTTTAGAGAAGAACATAAATGACCTGACAAAGCTGAAAAGCACAGCACGAGAATTTTGTGAAGCATACACAAATATCAATAGCCAAATTGATCAAGCAGAAGAAAGGATATCAGAGATTAAGATCAACTTAATGAAATAAAGTGTGAAGACAAGATTAGAGAAAAAAGAATAAAAAAGAATGAACAAAGCCTGTAAGAAATATGGGACTGTGTGAAAAGACAAACCTACATTAGATTGGTGTACCTGAAAGTGATGGAGATAATGGAACCAAGTTGGAAAACACACTCCAGAACTTTGCCAACCTAGCAAGACAGGCCAACATTCAAATTCAGGAAATACAGAGAATACCACAAAGATACTCCTTGAAAAGACCAACCCCAAGATATATAATCATCAGATTCACCAAGATTGAAATGAAGGAAAAAATGTTAAGGGCTGCCAGAGAGAAAGGTCGGGTTACCCATAAAGGAAAGCCCATCAGACTAACAGTGGATCTCTCTGCAGAAATTCTAGAAGCTAGAAGAGAGTGGGGGTCAATATTCAACCTTCTTAAAGAAAATAATTTTCAACCCAGAATTTCATATCCAGCCAAACTAAGCTTCATAAGTGAAGGAGAAATAAAATCCCTTACAGACAAGCAAATGCTGAGGGATTTTGTCACCACCAGGCCTGCCTTACAAGAGCTTCTGAAGGAAGCACTAAATATGGAAAAGGAAAAATTGTTACCAGCCACTGCAAAAACAAATGAAAGTGTAAAGACCATCAACACTGTGAAGAAACTGCATCAACTAATGGGCAAAATAACAGCTAGCATCATAATGACAGGATCAAATTCACACATAATACTATTAACCTTAAATGTAAGTGGGCTAAATGACCCAATTAAAAAGCACAGACTGGCAAATTGGATAAAGAGTCAAGACCCATCAGTGTGCTGTATTCAGGAGACCCATCTCACATGCAAAGGCACATATAGGCTCAATTTAAAGGGATGGAGGAAGATTTACCAAGCAAATGGAAAGTAAGAAAAAGAAAGCAGGGGTTGCATTCCTAGTCTCTGCTAAAACAGACTTTCAACCGACAAAGATCAAAAAAGATAAAGAAGGGCATGACATAATGGTAAAGGGATCAATGCAACAAGAAGAGCTAACTATCCTAAATATGTATACATCCAATACAGAAGCACCCAGATTCATAAAGCAAGTTCTTAGAGACCTGCAAAGAGACCTAGGCTCCCACACAATAATAGTGGAAGACTTTACCACCCTGGTGTTAATATTAAACAGATCAATGAGACAGAAAATTAACAAAGATATTCAGGACTTGAACTCAGCTCTGGACCAAGTGGGCCTAAGAGGCATCTACAGATCTCTCCACCCTAAATCAACAGAATATACATCTTTTTCAGCACCACATAGCACTTATTCTAAAATTGACCACATAATTGGAAGTAAAACACTCCTCAGCAAATGCAAAAGCATAGAAATCATAACAAACAGTCTCTCAGACAACAGTGCAATAAAATAGGAACTCAGGATTAAGAAACTCACTCAAAACTGCACAACTACATGGAAACTGAACAGCCTGCTCCTGGATGACTACTGGGTAAATAATGAAGTTAAGGCAGAAATAAAGAAATTCTTTGAAGCCAATGAGAATGAGGACACAACCTACTAGAATCTCTGGGACACAGCTAAAGCAATGTTTAGAAGAAACTTTATAGCACTAGATACCCACAGGAGAAAGCAGCAAAGATCTAAAATCAACAATTAAAAGAACTAGAGAGCAAGAGCAAACAAATTCAAAAACTAGCAGAAGACAAGATATAACTGAGATCAAAACAGAATTGAAGGAGAAAGAGACATGAAAAACCCTTCCAAAAAATTAGTGAATCCAGGAGCAGGTTTTTTCAAAAGATTAACAGAATAGATAGACCACTGGCCAGATTAATAAAGAAGAAAACAGAGAAGAATCAAATAGGCACAATAAAAAATGATAAACGGGAGATCCAACAGAAATACAAACTACCATTGGAGAATACTATGAACACCTCTATGCAAATAAACTAGAAAATCTAGAAAAAATGGATAAATTCCTGGGCACATACACACTCCCAAGACTAAATCAGGAAGAAGTCAAATCCCTAAATAGATCAAAACAAGTTCTAAAATTGAGGCAG